AACTGAACATCGCAAGAGTTTGTATTTGCTGAGCTAGATAAAGGTGAAAAATGTTCGCTTATAATTTTGCTTCTATCTTTTATGAGAACGACAGTGCGCTCGACATAGCCATCTCTACTGGGTCTAGGCCAATCAGTCACAATCGCCCTTTAAGCAGTTCCACTCAGACTTCGCAAACATTTTTCCCTTACTCGGAAAACGATGTCTAAGTGAGCTCAATTCTTCATCTGGCGTCTGAAAAAATCTTCGCTTGTATATCGTAGAAGATTTCATTTCATCATATTCAATGTCGTCATTTCTATGTTCATAATTGACACGATCTGGCTCATCATGTTACTCTCATCACAAAGTCATCAACTACAACCAACCAACGTAAGCGGGCGAGGGAAGTCCAAACGGCAAACGTGCTCACGTTACGAACGAAGACCTGGCGTCCTCAAGCCCCACCATCAGCATCACCCTTATCATAAGCGACGCCGCCGATTTCATCATCATCATTGACAACGGGTGCCGTCTTGGTCTACTTTTTATACGGACCATTCCTTCTTTCTGTGTTCTTCGAACGGATTGCTCGCTGTTGGAAAGCACTGCCATTGAAGTTGCTGCTGCCACTGCTAGCCAGTGCGTGCGTCCTCCTCGCTACCTATCTCCATTGATATGGTGTGCTTCTGCCTGTTTTACGTTTGTTCCAGCTTCTTTTTTGTCCGTTTTATCTCGATTCACTTCGTTCTGCTTCTATTTTCTCCTCTCCTGGTTTTGGAGCGGATTTCAACTACTTCCTCGTCAGCCTTCGTTGTTAACGGGGTCAGCAGATTCACTCGTAGGTTTCGGTTCTGTTCAGTGGTACGCTGGCAACGCTTCTGTTTTGCGAAGTACCGAGGCGAACGACGACAATTTAAACGAAAAGTTCCGTCTTCAAGCCTCTGCTGAAGTACACGACGTTTACATGGAGTGTGCCAGCCTGTGTTAGACACGGTCTCGCACACGGCCCGCACCAACTTCGAAATTAACGGCATTGCATCTGGCAACAAAAGAAGGCCAAGAGACGGCTTGTCGAACGGTTGTTTTCTACTGACCTATTCATCTATTTTTATTTTATTCCGTATTTAATAGCTTACGAGCTCTTGTCGCTAGCGACAAAGCTAAACAACACAGATGTCAGTCAACACCGATACGTACCAGTCCTATCTACGAACGGAAGCGAGGCATACTACTTCAGCACCATAGCGACTAGTAACCGCCGCTACAACGGCGCCGACTATGACAATTTACACGACGATAACGCCAAGACAACAACGGGTTTAAGGAGCTTTATATTACGTTACCACATTTAGTACAATACTGTAATACCGCAACTATAGCTGACTGGCTCGGCTGTGTCGAGGTATAGAACGTTGGCCAATTAGGCTTTCTTCCGCCATGTTTCGTTGCTATGCCACTGTCTATGCTACTACATTATCACTGCCGGTGCCATTATCATCTACACATGTATATGAGGGGCTATATCTATGCATATTAACAGATGTATTATTTTGTATATATTTGTATTTGAAGAGATAAGTAATTTGCTAAAATATTTTTTCTAACATAATACATACAGATGAAGTAGATGACTAAGTATCTAGTCACCATGTAAATTTTTGTCTGTTTGTGTTTGTAGATTACGAACTAATGACAAAGAGGTCTTCGGAAACGTTTGGGAGCACGTTCGAGATCAGTTGTAAACTATGCAGAATCCTAAAAAAATATATATATTTTCGTAGCATTTTGAAAAAAACACTAGAATACTAACACGCCTATTATCGCAAGCAATCTATACAACGTTAGTTGTAAGATCGTACTGCTGCTGCCATATGAGAACCGGTTGAGCTTGGAGACAATCTTTATCTGAACAATTTAAGGGGTAGAAGAGCTAAGTAAGCAACGCTTACCGTTCCCAATGGTCGTGCAAAATACGTTTAAGCAAGAAATACCTGATCCCCACCGCTAGCAAGATACGATAACGAGCTAGAGTAGAGTCATTCAGAAAATGTTTGGTGCGGTTTGTAGCGGTCATGGCTGCCAACGACAAGCAGACTCCAACTGGTTACGTTTATTGACCCATTCCGAGTGTGTCCTTCCTTAATTCTATCGTTACGCGTCCGTTGTTCTCAAACATAGCTTTCTCAAATAGAATAGAATGATCGTACACGCGAAAATAAAGATCGACGTCGTTTGTCATTCGAGCAAAAGTTGGTTTTTATTTTCTGAAAGATCAACAATGAATGAAATGAAAAAAACTAGACTGAACCAGAGAGACGTGATACGCCACAGTGTAACCATATAGTCTTACCTACGAGTATCATTATGTCAAACCTAATAGGCGTTTAATTACTATTTCCATTCATCATCGCACCGTTTTCCATTCATATAGACACTTTTGCGTCTAGTGTTGTCCTACCTTTTCCAAGTCAATGCTGAATTTTCAGGAAACCGAAACTTCTACCGATCTGAGCTAACTAGATAGAGTTACAAAATTACTCGTCAGCCAAGTGATTTTCAACGGTACGACAACATGTGACCTCGCTGACATCCGTTAGATCTTCAACGTTTTGTACTGTCGTTCGTTTACATTTCGACGTCAACAGAAGATGTTCATAGAAATATCTAAAAAGTATTTCTTTCTGTCAGTTTCTGATTGTTGTTGTCTTTGTACTGCTAAACCATCTTCTCTTTTATTGTCTGTGCGCTGCTCGAGACATTCGTAACGTTGCTTCGTAACCCTATGAGAAGTCCAATTGAGCAAATCTTCCTGCTAGCTGCGTATTGCAGATATTTAGCGTTGTCGATCGTGTACGGAATACTTCTCCACCCAGACTTCATTCTGCCGCCTTAGACCGCACCCGGTTAGACCTAATATGGCCTCCGTTCTTCTTTACTAATCCAAGTGGATCGCCAACGAATTAGGCCCCTTAATTAATTCACCCCTGCCTTAAATATTCTCGACCAGTCTATACAGATACTACCTTCTACGAAGTAGCTTGGTTGCATCATTAGTGACAGAAAATAGAATTTCCAAACTGCTTAGGAAATACGCAGGCTGTTATGTGATGTGATGAGAGTCTTTTCGTCGTTCGTTATTACCGACAGATTGAATTTCCTTTTCGCGGTAGAACGCTTAGCTGCCAGCTGTAAGCTTGAGTGAAACGGCCCCAAGGGTTAAAAGAGGCTACCGAGTTAAAAATATTCTGTGACATTGTCCAGGCATCCAACCTTCTCCGTGTCGCATACACGGTTATATTCTGATTCGTGTCGGACGTCCGAACTATCACGCCAGTGACTACCAAAAAAAACTGGAAGGTGGAAAAAGTACGCTGAACACAGGTGCCCATGTAAATGTATATGTAATGTTTTCGTTCATGTGATATCTATTGCTTCCGACGCGAGCTCGAATAATCGAACGAAGTGCAAAAATCGAAGGAAGCCTTTGGAAGGCCAGTGGAAATGTTTGATCCTAGCATACCTTTGGGTACGCAGGAGAAACTTGCTCTCTTTCAAGGGCAGCCCTTAACTTGCTCGGATTAGTTAAAATTTAATCGGTTTTTAACTGTAACAGGTGGTACGCGACGCATCTTAATCGCTGCGAGTATTCTCTGTCAGCAAAGGGTTGTGTGTTACGAAGCCGAAAAGAATGTTAACTTTGGAGCATCAAATCGTACGACGCGTAAGGGGAGCTCGGGCTTTCTTGAAGACCTTCGTCTATCTACGAAGGTGCACGATTCGGCAGCGCAACACGTAATTGAAACGGGCTTCTTCTACGGCTGATTGCGTTTGTCTGTTACAGAACACGATGAACACTATTGGTAGCCCAGCGACCTTGCCTAACACCTTGATGTGTCGCTATTGATGCACACATTTGTAAAAAATGACTACTGGAAATGTAACGTTTGTTTACTGTGGATATATATTCTATTATTTATAAACGATCGATCAGTGAGACCTTGGAAACAGACACCGAATAAAAAACGGGCAACGCAGAGTCTGTAAACGGGATTTTTGAAAAGCTGAAACCGGTGTGGTAACGACAGATAGATACCTGCAGTATATATATTCAGGTATATTGTGTTGTATGGTTAACGCTGAAGTGCGGGAACGTACGCATGGCTAAAATTTTGTTATCGTGGAACACACGTATGATACTTTCGTAATTTATTTGATATGACACTTATCATTGTATAGTAGATATTTAATGCGGTGACAGTTTTCCTTCAACGAAATCTACAAATGATAGAGAAGCCAACAAAGATTGCTTTGATTTTGCAAAATGCATGTTATGCCAATAAAGCCCTACCGTATGTGACGCAATGCTAGCTAGCTCTGCTAGAGGCAACGGCGAACACCCGTTTTATCTATCTACATTAATGTACATACTATTATGCCGTAGTAATTTCATGTCTTTGGCAGCCTATGGTACACACTTCGTAGCAGGACTTACTAGCTGGCACACGACCGAATTATAGATCGTGTTCCGTGTGCGGCGTCGTCCTTCACGCTAACTACAACAATGGAATTCAAATGGGTCGTCAGCAAAACTCAGATGACCGACAGCGGTAGTTTCTAAAAAGAAGTTTATAATCAGCCAAATATTGCCTCACATAGAGAAACATATGAAAAGTCAGCGCTAAATGCTATGTTTACTGCCATAGCATCCTTCTGATAGCATTTAAATGAAGTCGAATGATAACGGTCGCTGCATAACGCCGTAGATGTTGTAAAATAAATCTTCGCAGACGTTGGCGTCTCTACTCGCTAAATTATAGATCATACCGATAGTGATCCTTTTTGAATTGGGTTATTAGACCAGTTTTGGCCACCTACCCAAGATCACTTATCGCTAACTATTAGACACCTAGTTATTCTTAGTTGTTCGATAGAGATCGTTTCGTTTGCGTTTAAACAAAATCTACTTCCCTATGACTCGATCCGACGTCCTTGATGTACCTCTTCTACAAATACAGTACCTTTCCGCATGCTCCAGGAATAGTCGTATGAATAGTCCAGCTCATTTTTATCCTCTTCCAGTAACAGCTTCGCTCTGTAAGACAGAGATACTTGAAAGGAAGTAAGCCAGGCCATTTTTAGTGGGTAAGCCTATTTTACTGCGCCCTATCGTCATGTGTTGGCCATATCGTCGCTGGATTATCCGCTGAGTTCGGCTCTGCCTATGCTGCCGCTGCCCTTGTTGTAATGCTAATATTGTATTGTACTGGAGATCCGTTACTACGGCTAGTAACATTCGCTGCTATGACTCTAACGCATGAGCTGTTTCCATTATCGGCTATCACAGTCGAGGCCGGGGCGCTTTTCGTTTGCCATGCGACAAGATACCCTGTCTACGGGTCATCAGTACCAAGCACAAACGACAAAACCATTTAGCAGTGATACTCTCTGATCTGCTGACACGCTCCGCGTCTCCATGCCTGCACGTATAGAATTATTGAACTATATATACAGTGCAAATGACTGGGCCGTCCGGCTAGCGAGTTGTGACGTGAAGTGTGAAGTTTCGTTTATTGAGCATGTACAGGCAGACAAACAAATACACATAAACACTCATGTAAATACATACATACGTATATCGACGCGTTCGATTATTTATAGTTCCTTGGTTTCGGCATTGGCACTAGATGCATGAAAGTATGCCATGCCGTTCGATACATGAGTAATAACAGAGCGCTATCGGCTATCGTTAGCGATAACAGATTTGCAATTGACCCGTGCGTGGGATGGCGGAACTGCAGACCTGCCACTGCTTCTGTGGAAATTGAAGCCTCGAACAAATAACTGATATAAAAACATGCCAGTAACGCATACATGCGGCTGACGATGTACATCTACTATAATAATGAAACATATTAAAGATATACATAGTATGTTAGACGAGTTTTTGTAAAAGAACCACATTATCGTATGCGGTATCAACAAGGATCGTGCACTAGGCTCCATCAGGAATCCCAGGTGCAGAACGATAACAAAATAATCATGATAAAAGTCACAATCATAAGCAATAATCAAGGAGTAGCTTCATTGTTTATTCCGTTATCGTACAGAAGCTCAACATTTTCTAAGATAATGTCTATGAGAGAATAGTTCAAAGTGTATGTCGCCATTTTCTTTGTAAGATCATACAGATTAATAGAATTTATGACTACGTGTGGCAATCTCAAGAGATTGACCATCGGCATGATGGTTATAACGAACAATAGGCTTTTCGACACTCAGATGGAAAGCGGACTTTATCACCTAAGGCCTTTGCAGTACGCATAGACGATGCGATAAACAGAAAGCAGCAACTTAGGCTATTTGCATAACGCAATTGACTATAATTAGGCATTGAATCATAAATTATCTACTCCTTAAATAGTCTACTTAGTTTGAAAAGCTGCGGTACGAACCCCAGCTTTTCATTTCACCTTATTTGGTAATAATAGAAGCGCTGATTCCAGTGCATCATATTGCCCTATGGTTCTAGATACAAGCTAGTTAGTTACCTTTGCTAATGATACTTTTTCGTCAGTTCCGTTATTATGAGCGCCGTAGAAAATTTAGTTTGAAAAAATGCCCAGCATATAGAAACGCTGGAGGAACTCGTTGAAGCGGAATGAGTCAGAAAGCGATTGATTCCTTTGGTTGTTCGTGTGTAAAAACACTGCTGGAATCGTTCAGCATTACTGTACTTGTACGTCATAACCCACTGGGTCAGAGCCGGAAGATGTGTTCCGTTCTCGATATAGCGCCTACTAATGGGCAGGCCGGCGATAGAAATAGATCTGTCGAAAAAATTATTACCGCGTTCTTAGACCTATCCTACACAACTCAGTTGCTCGCCCTGTGCTCTTTTATATGTCGCATATTGGAGGTAATTTTCTTCTTTCGTACAATTGTGTTGTTGTATTGCATCCTTACGTTTCTGTGCATACGCATGGTGGATAGCTAAATGAATACCGCCATTATCTGTCCTACGCAATTACAGGTTAGCCAACAGACAGACTGGCGGTGCCATAGCAGGATTGTGGCCGAATGCAAGGTCTTATGATCAAAATTTTATATCAAATTTAATTTTAATCTATGTAGATTGAAGTTTGCTCCATTTTTCAATACATTAAAGCAAAATAGTGTCTTATCAGTGATTATAGAGAAGCACCTACCGACAATAAAAAATTTAAACAATGATCCCGTCGTGGCAAAACTAACACAAGTCGAAATAGGACTTAAGACAGATTTGCATGCCTGTTGTTCTAGATAATCGATTCGAATAAGCCTACGTATGACGATCGTATAGATATATAACGGCAAGAGCAAAGATCAATGGACACATTAGAGCACAGCATACCAAGTAAACGCGTGCCATTAGCCAAGACAGAAATAAATGACGGTATCGTTGTTTGTGTTTAGGGGGCGGGGGTGTTACCGCTCACTTGGGGGTTGGCGATGTTCTGTGTTCTATTGTTTCTACACTACCCGGCACACACATGCATCCTCATCGCGACCACACTGAACGAACGAACAGACATAATAAGCCAAGGTATTTCGATTTTAAATTGTTTTGGCTGCAAATGTTCATGCACACCCAGTTTACAGACTTTTGCGACAATTGCGGTTAGTTGCACGTTCAGCAGTCGAGATCGTTTTACTTACGAGTTTTTTTTACAAAGCATCTGACGTATATACATAGCAGCAAGTGTATACCTACTTCAAAACGATCAGTTAAAATTTGCCGCGCTTGCAGGTTCTATTTCTGTGTTATGCCGCGTGCTCATCATCACGCTCAGACCACTGAATGAATTTGAGACTGCTATCGTTTACACACAAACATGGCACAAGCAAGTGCGACTCTTTATTACGAACTATACTTGCTGAATTGAATGTCGCACATCAAATAATTTTCTTTTTATAGAAAGTTTGATTACCAGTTTTCGTACGACCAGCACCACTAGAGGATAACGGTTAACTTGTTTGGGCTTAGCGTTAGGCTCAGCGTCATCGATTAGACTTATTCACGTTGAGGCCACTACTCACTGATTCTCAACTCATCTTTCAAGGTTCACTCCGAATCAGCCCAGATCTTCAGGAGTAGTTAGCGCCAACATATCATCATGTCGGGGCACTTTGAAAGTTTCCCACCTCCCCTGGCGAGTTAGCTCCCTGCACTCGAGTATGATCCGTGCCCCGTGCATCCCGTCAAAATGTCGTCTGCTGTTTACTTTGTCGTTAACTTCATGGGCCGTTGTTTTTCTCTCAAGACTTCCTAATTGAAGTCTTACTCATCACTAAACACTTTCGTGGCCTCGATAGAGAAGGGTGTGAACACCCTCATGCCGTTTGCTAGGGACAACCTCATTTTTCCTCTCATGTGTTTTCTTCTAGTGCGAGTAACAGCTCGCCTGCCTGTAGTGTGTAGCTATTAAGCCTGCAGTGCACAGGTTACAGATATCCGACTGAGATTCATCAGTTTTGTAAAGATAGCTTTGAAAATCGACACGACCCGTAATGAGATGTGTGAGGTAGTACCCGAGCCCTCTAGCGAGTTGCGCAGTCTAGGCTTTCCACGTTAGGGATGGTGCCCCATATTGCTGTTCCCGGATCGGAATTGGGGATTGTTTGACGCAGTTCAAGTAGAAGACACCACAACCGCTCAAAAAGCATTTATTTTAAAATGAATATATCTTAAAAATGAATAATCCACAATTGAACTTGTTTACTTATAGACACATTGTATCATTTATCCCAGGTGCCTTCTTCTAGCGTTCTCACCTTCGGTACATATTCTACCGAATTCATTATGCAACACAGATATTCGGCCCACTGGCAATACAATACGGTGACAGATATTCATTTTGCCCTACCGAAAACATAACTAGCTGTCGGCTGCTTTCAGCGCCAGAAACCCGACGAGTATTTTTTTTAGCTATTAGAATTATTATACATGTAAATCTAAGAGTAGCAATGTTCCAATTACTATAATTATTTTTTATTATAATTAGCATCCATGCATTACATGTGGATAGGTTGAACTTAAAAAATTTACCAACTTTGAAAACTTAATGCTCTTCCATGTGGTGCCTTGAGAATTCCCTTTCTAGTATATTTGTTTGTCATTTCTAGAGACGGTCGATTTCGCCAATGCCGGCTGTGGTTTGCCTCGTTTGTTCGTCAGCATCAATACAATTATCGCCGTCATCTGACGAAACTGTAAAATGTGTGTTTTGTATGGCTGCGTTTGTGTGTATCCGTATGATAAACATCTCTACCGTCTCTAGTACGCGACATTAAGACAATTATCCAGGCGTATAGACAACACGGTAGCGCGTTAGAAACCGAAGAACGGCATAAGCCGAACCGACTCAACAACGGCTGTGTGAAAGGAGACAGCTGATGAAGTTAATGATCATGATGAGAGTGATGAAGGCGTTAACGAAAATGAATTCGCACCGAACAACTGACGAGGAGCGTGGATAAAGGAATAAGCACGTCATGAGTCATGCAGGAGTCAACACGAACTTGGGAAGGGAGTAAAGCCGGCACAGGTCGGTCTGTTCGTCATCTAAAATCTACCAGTTGCCTATTGCAATCTAACACTGCGAGTAGCCGATTGCTGCCAAAGCGTTCCTAGCCGCGGTTTCTATGAAGTCACCTATCGTTTAACCCTATTCTGCGATCACATGCGTACTATGCTATCATAACTGAAGGGAACAGCAGCGGAGGAGCTGGACTGGGCGGGGGCTAACGTCGTTGCAACCGTGGTAAAAATGATGTCGTTGTTATAGCGGCAGCACTAGCGGTAGGGTGACTCAATTTTATTGAAAAGGTCTCTTCTGCAGACCATTTTCGGAGCAGTGGAACTATGAACCAACGACTCATTTACATATGCACACATGCGCAGACAGACACAAACGTTATGCTTTTCTATAGAATTTACATGTTTCTCAGACACTTTAATGTTATGCTGGTCCTTTGTGTTTCTCCCTACTTTCTACTGCTGTGAAAGAACTAAGAACCAATCATGTCGTTCCTCATATGCCATTCTAGTTAAATTTATCATTCAGCGCACTTATCGCTTTCACACATTTCTAATATAAAGCTTCTAAAACAATATCACTAGCAAGCCAAGCCAGAAGTAACCGAAAATATCGCCGCGCCGTCTAAATATGTTTTATAGGGTATTACCAATTTAAGGACGGGGCAATTAGCAACCACTCGCCTCTCTTGTATATGCAGAATTACAACAACTAAACCTTTCCGTTTGTCAGAGAACTTTTTGTCGATTACGATAGACTCGTTACTCCTTGCATACATTTGCCACTTCGTGATCCGAAGCTATCACCGAGCATCAATAGATTGTGTTCGATCAGGTCAAAATGAGAATTTGCGTACTAATCTTAGGGACACGTTGTGGTCCTGATTCAAACCCGGACATAAACAGACTTCGTTTCGTGCTGGGAACCAACCAGCCAGCCATCTGTCTGATGAAACGTAAAACTCGAGACACAGAGCCCAGGGTGAAAAGAGCACTAAAATGACCGGTTCAGCTACCCGCAGCAAATTTTGGGAGATAATTCGAAGCTAACCTCATTTGTGTGGTAGTGCATTGGTACGGTGAACACTTCCTGTGGAATACAGAGGAGATGAAAATAAATGGGAAATACACACTGGATTTTTGACTCTTTTCTGTGTCGGTCGATCAGGGAGTAGATGATATAAGCCATGTACGTTTCTAAACATGGTCAAGCTTTCGAACAATGAAATATTATAAACGAATTAACTGACTCTGATCAATTGACCGCAAGCGCTTATCCTGAAAGTGTTATCGGCTAGGTAAAGTATGGAAGCAGGGATGAGTTACATTTCAGTTTGTGATAAACTAAGGTAAACCAGTTAATGTTCTGCTAGAAGTTTATACAAGGTAACCGTCTTCTTAATTATTTCTACTGATTTAGTAAATCTAATAAAGCCTAAAACCAGTGAACCCTATATTTTATTTCAGTTTAGGAAACTTTTACTACAAGTTGGTCGGATCTCTGTTTAACGATCTAGAATTTGTTATCGAGATTTGTCAGATACTATGTTCGTTATCATTATCAGCGTCATTCGCAATATTCTAAATGGATGACTATAGCGAAAAGCTAGATCTATTGTCGAAGCTTAGTGATTTTGGCAGAAAAGAAAAAGCCCAATCTCGGCTGCAGGCGGTGAAGCAAAAATCCTTGTAGCAACAGAAACTACTTCTTCGTGTTTCTGGCACGTATTTTAACTTTGTCCAAGCTATGATTGATGTCTGAATTTTGTTCCTATATCACCGTATGATTTTAGATTAGAAAGATAATACGCTCTGAGTCGATAGGAACTTTGCCTTAAACCTGACTTTTAAGTTTGTTCACACGATAGGAAGCCTTAAGTACGTTTTGATGTAATGAAACGCTATCTCGTTTGCCCATATTCCTCTTCTACGACATAGAACTCAGTATTTAAATTCAGCTCCACATTCAAATAAACTATATGTAGCCTTTTATTCTTTTTGACACATAAAACTTCATTTACTTTTTTTTCAATAATTTAAGCTGCTGTGAAGACAGACCCAACACAAGGCTGCATATAGGCACACAAAAATAGACGTCATATTCGCGCGTGGCAGCTGTCGTAATTATTTATCGTTTTTTTGAAAAATATTTCATTATTTACCAAACTGCTACCTGGGTGTGTATTTATGACGTACTATGTTTGTTACAAACATTACATGTGATGTTCATTCTTTACGACTGTATGTCCTAATGATTTAAGCATAGTCAAGCGTGCGTCCATATAACCTGTGACCATACTCACCACGAACGTTGCTTCTCAAACACTGTTGCACCTGGCGACTACTATCGTAGATGCTATCGTTGATTATTCTGTCATGCAAAACTCTAACACATTTAAATCCTACTGCTGTGAATAGCGGAAGATCAGCCACAAACAAACTTCACTATGCCGCTACTAAAAATCCATTTGTACGGCTAAGGGAATCCACATTGTTGACGGTAGAGGCAATCACAAGATCATTTGTGTATATATCACGTCACAAAAATACAACAATCAGAGTAGTAACAAGCTGACTAAAATGACGATCCAGAGATTTTACCACATCATCAGCCGTTTGCGCTATCAGATTTACTGGATCGGAGAGCGTAAAAGTTGTCATCGATCGCACAACATTCGAGAACAGCTTAAGCACATACACAGCAACCCTGTCGAACCGCCTAAAACAAACCAAATGGCTTAACTGGCTGTAACACCAAAATTCATTTATATATAAACTACAGCTCGAAGAACACACAATCAGAACGGATCAGAGTGTACAACTCAACTATAAGGCGATGTTGTCCCCCAGTGCTCTTTACTTGTAGCGCTGGCTCCGATGGTGAATAGCAGTAATCAATAGCAGTACTAAAAAGCATCAAAACAGTGCCGAACGACTACAGCGGTAGTAAACGCCACCAGATAACCACCACCGTCAACGCGGCGGCAACAGGTCACAGCATCACAGCGGCTTACGGGCTTCTGATTGTCTCCCTCGTGCCGCTGGTCCCGCCGCTGCTGCTGCCGCCACCGCCGCCGCTGCTGCCGCCGCCACCGCCGCCGCCGCCGCCGCTACTGCTTTTGCTCTTTCTCCCGCAGCAGCAACGATCGCATCCATCGCCCGTCCACTCACAGTGACACGGCCGTGGCGGCGAGTGGAGCGTGACGTAGGGGGCGCCACAATCGGCGCCAAGGCCGCGCGCGATCGGTGCGAGCGCCGGCGCTCAAGCACGGCCGTCGCCATACAAGAAGGACCGATCCGGCAACGTACACCGCAATCGCCGTTGCCGCTGTTATCGTTACCGTTGTCTGGCCACGAATAGCAACAGAACTGCAGTCGCAGAATCAATCCCCCAATACCGGCAGCATTTGACTTCGGCAGCGACCTGGCGACGAAGCAACGGCTACGATAGCTACAGAGTCATGCAACTGTTACGCATCAGAACCAAGCAGAACGGTGATAACGGCAACGAAAAATAACGAACACTGCAGCCAGCGCACTTCAAGAGAAACGGAGAAGTTGGAAGAAATACGGGCAGGCAACAAAAAAAAAATTGCGAATAAAAGACGGCGACGGTGATGGTAGCAGCAGCGACGACAGCGACGCCGGAGAAACGTCTGCGACACGACTTGCAGAAGCGGCAGCAGAAGAAGAAGCAGAAAATGACGAAGTCGCAGAAGACGCTGAAACGATGGGCGCTGCTGGTGGGCGGCTGGCTGCTGTTGTGGATGTTTCAATATTCTTCTTGACAATGACGGCAACGCCAGTGATGGCGAAGGGGAGATAAGTAGACAGGGACGGAGAACTGACAGCTGAACATCGTACGGTTGACAAGAAAAAAACTGACGGCGATGGCGATAATAAATGAGAGCAGCAGGGTAAGGGCAGGCGTGGTAAACGAATTTGATAACCGGCCATTAATTAATTGGTCCTGCTTCGACAGGTTGTAGAAGAGTTCTTGAGGAACAACAAATCCAAGGAACATGTTTTGGTCAATGAATTTCCTATCCGAGACAAAGGTTAAATTAATTAAAGAAACAACTATTGAATAATATAACATATAAAACGGCAGAGAAGAGATGACTCCCGTTCCACAACGCCTTCAATCAATATATAGTTTTTCTATAATTCAACCTAAAGCGTTCGCAAATACAAGACTGCCCGCCGCTTTACGTCTGGCTTGCTTGGAGGATCGTTGCACGCAGTTCTAGGCAGGCCAAATCCACTCGGATGTCTCTCTCTTATTTGCAGGGTGATAATTCAATCGTCCATGAATCAGATTGCTGCTGTTTGTTCCTACTACTGCGACTCCTGGAACGGCTACTCGGTAGTTAGTACCTTGCCGTTTTCCTGAAAGGAGTAAGTGTGGAGCTCTAATTGGACCTGTAGCATATAAGAGCCTGATCCTGAAAAAATGTTGTCTGAGTTGTTCTAACAGACTGAACGCTACATGTACACTCTATCGATGAAGATTAACGTGTGGTACAAAGTTACGCTAAATGATACGTGAGTTACGTTTCGTATCGAAATGTCACAACTGGATGACACATTTGAGACAAGTAGTCACGTTTTAATAGTGCTTCATACCGATGTCTACGAATAAATTCACATCAACTAACCACTGCTGGCTGGTACGATTCGCGAAAATGAATGCTTTCACGGATATATCTGCAGCTACTTTGCATCGTTGCATAGATCCTTGATATTTCTCATATGGCCACTGTCGTAAAGAACGGCGTGACGAAATCTGAATTACGTCTTGTTCTCTCTTTCTAGAATGATTGGGCAATACACTAGGCGTGATGGGCCTCGCCTGCAACTGATAGAAACTGGCTTGTCTCCTCTGCGAATCACTGGATACGTAGTTGTCACTGTATTGACGTAGTGAAGAAGCAACGGTTGACCGCCTGATTGGTGTTGGTGCTGCCGTAGCCATTAATACTGCAACAGACCTTCCACATGGAGCAATACGAATAAGCTGTCGCGTTTTTTCTTTTTTTGTAGATTTCAGATGGGAAATGCTCGAGTAATAGATAAGAATTTCACAATTAGAATAATGATATATGTAGAATGCTTTCGACCAGACGGTACAAACTATCCTTGTTAAAGTGACTTTATCAGGTAGTAGCGATAGCTCATCAAGACCCAGACAGATAGCTGACTCACTCATTGCAGGACGGTCCTAACGTAGCCCATTTGAGATCGGTAATGCGATAGCTAATTGGTTCCTCTAAGCTCACGCGACTTTATGCTGGTGGGTTTGGCAAACCCAGATACAAACTTTAAGTAATTAGTAAATAATACGAATTATGATTATGACATAAGCAGTTTATGTTTGTAGCTTTCCTAGTTAGAGAAACAATGATGAATGAACCGCTACCTTCAAAATTTGCCTCCGATCCTACTATTTTATTGTTAAGCATCCTGTGCTATGCAAGCGTACGCGCTATATTTGCTGCAGTTCTAATGTACTAACAGCTGCTATAGTCGCGATAAACCTCTAGCCAATTCCGAAGGGGTAGTCCATGCAGTTTCGACGGGGTTGATATGCGACGATGAACGAACGATGGCGTGGTAGGTTGGTGATTGTTATTATTACTATTGGTTGCTGCTCCTGTTTGCCGTTACCTGTAATACATTCGGCTTTTGATTCTCGATGTTCGCCGGTTTACCCAGTTTAATCGGCTCTCCTTTGCCGCAGTATGGAGCTTTTGGCGAGGTCGCTATTGGACGAACTGTTACGATACTTCCCTTTACCCGTTTCATTCGAATGACCAACCGTAGATAAACTGGAATAAAGCGGATCTATTAAGAGACGAGATGGAACAAGGAACAAATAAAGCGGGGGGGAAAAAAAAAAAAACAGCAGATGAGAACCAGCGGAACAAAGGAGATGTTTACTCTGAAGAACCCCAATTTAGAACAGACGATTTATCTCATCGTCTGTTTTGTCGACGTTGTTATGATGCTATGATGATCTCATTCCCGATCCACACGTTTGTGCCTTTCTATAAGTAGTTATTAACAGAAAACTGTTGACTATTATCGCGGGCAGCGCGTATCGCAAGATAAATGCCGGCAATGCAGAAGATCAACAGCAACTATATTTTTGTTGTTTCAATGAACGACCTGTGGAAACAATAACAATGTGATTAGATAATTAACGCTGGCAGATAGATGCACAGGGCCGTAGAGAGAAAACGGACAGGTTTTTTTCTTTAGTAATCGACCTGTGCTTATTGGCGTAAGTTTATGCAATTACACAATCTACAAAAATAGCACTTGTAAAAGAACATTAATAGAAATAAATAATGAGTCGCATTGATCAGACGAAGTTCATATCGATGCAAAACACACTTCTGTACATAATATCATTTACTTATTAGTAGGTACGTGTGCAAGTTATAGAAAAGCAAAAAAACGTCGAAAAAATAGGCTGACAGGTGTCAGTACTTTCTTCATTGAAAGCACTCTCATCTATTTTTTCTTTATCTGGGCTGCCACCCTCGTTGTGTATGTAAATAGCTGCGCATTGTGACTTTTAGAGGTTTTAGCTATCGCAAATTGACGTCTGAGTCGACAACATTTTGGCACCAACAACTAAGTGCTTTTAAATGAATCTTTATTCTTCACAAACATTACACATTTAAGATTTTACTAAAATATAACATCCAATATAGCCTTCGCGGCAATTATTTGGGTTTTTGGCCTTTTTTTCTCGTGCATCAGTCTATAGCTCTGAAATGCCAGCTTACATATTTTCCTTAAGTTTGTTAACCGTCCGCAAGATGTACACAAAAATTTTTAGGTACACCTATAAGAAGATATCGAACGGAGTTATGCCGCATAATCTGAGAGACGTCACCCCGCCTAAAGATCAGCCGCTTATTGACGTGATCGTTTAACAACAACAGTTATTAGAACCCAGATGTTAACAAAGCTTTTTCAACAATTTGGGGTACAAGAAAGCATGAGATTATCTCCCGGATACAATCCAGAGTTAATTGTTTTGTCAGAAAAAAAAAGACTAATTGCCAGACAATCATGTTTTGGGATGTGGATTTCATTCGTGGATAGTTCGGGTACTCTTGCGTCACGACGATCCATAGACAGCCTATTAATCTAAAGAGCATATCCGTGCGGCTATTTCTATTTCTATTTCCGTGCGGATATATGCAAACAAGTAGCTAAAAAGCGCGTGAAGCATCTATTGATTTTGTATCAAGGTGAATTCTTTAAACTTACAATGTTGGTAATAAGGAAAGGTTTATGCAAATATTTTCAACTTGCTCCAGATGACCCTGTACAATGATCCTATAATATGCAGGTTGCGTAGTACAATATACAACGAATGACAGGACGTTCTACTTGATATCAAAACGATGTACGTTGAACTGAAACCAGTGACCTTCAGGTCTAATGGTCGCTGAATTTATCGATATGGACATGAAGATTTAATCGTATTGAAAACCGCCATTTGACTAAATCCTAGAGTACGTTATTTGTACATTTTCTATTAACTGAAAATGCGCATAATCTCTTATTATAGTAATTTTCTTTGCTTTCAAAAACTTTTTAGCTTTTCTTTTTCATCGAACGGGCAGGATGCGTACGTCCCTTATCCGAACGCTCTTATTCTTAAGAAAATTACACACTTTGCCAATCAATTCTGGCGTTGTAGGTTTGCGTGATAGAGTTATCGACACCATGCACGTCTACAATACATCTGTTAATCATTTTTTTTGTTTAAAAAACACAAGTATGCAGTTTTTGTGCAACCTGTAGGTAGATGTTGCTGTATGACATCATGAGCATCGCATGCTTTACCTCAATTAGCCTCAACGTATTGAGGTTAGTTCCGAGATCTGACATGGCTTCGATGGTTACTCTAGTTACATCTTATTATTATTATTATTATTATTACTCTTCTAGTTGTTACTCTCTGAAGC